AGAGAGAGAGAGGGAGAGGGAGAGGGAGAGGGAGAGAGAGAGAGGGAGAGAGAGAGAGAGAGGGAGAGAGAGAGGGAGAGGGAGAGAGAGAGAGGGAGAGGGAGAGGGAGAGAGAGAGGGACAGGGAGAGGGAGGGAGTGAAAATTGAACACTTGAAAATGAAGGCACATACACACACACACACACACACACACACACACACACACACACACACACACACACACACACACACACACTCTCTCTCTCTTTTTTCTCTCCTTCTTTCCTTCATACTTTCTTTCATTCTTTCTTTCTTTCTTTCTTTCTTTCTTACTCACTAACTCACTCTTTACCCTTATGTTGTCCCCTATATATATATATACATATATATATATATATATATATATATATATATATATATATATATATATATATATATATATATATATATATATATATATATATATATATATATATATATATACTGGGTTTATCTATCTATTAATCTATCTATCCACCACCCAATTACCAACCTATCTATCTATCTAATAAAAATACTTTTCTAAATCCACGAAAGCAGGTCACAGATCCAAATCATAACAACACATACCAGTTCCACAAGCTCCGCAAGGGCTCGGAAAACTGACGGACCAGGTAACAAGGTAACGTTTAATAAGTGTCATGTGTCAGCTGCGAAGATTATGTTCAATTTCATAAGTGCTTCTCACACACTATAAACAAAATAGATTTATTACGTAAACATCGTTAGACAAAGCAAATATAATTCTTCCCTCAAGGCTGAATAATCAGGAAGAAAAATTCATAAATAAATACAAATAAAAACTGACAAATACAAAAAAAATAATATGCAATACAAATAAAAATATAAAATAAAAAAAAAAAATACCAACAACCAGAAAATGATATAGAAATACAGAGATTTTCATTCACCATGGCAGTTCTTAAAAAAATAATAATAATAAATTCTACAAACGAAAAATCTCATGAAGAGACACTATCTTTCCACACTTCAAACACAAACACAGATCATCTAAATCTTCAAATCAACCTAATTCCATCTTCAGCGAAAAGAATATCCCGCACTTCCCGGCGCATACACGAAATAGCTCCAGAACTCGTATCCCTGCGACTCGTTTCAAGTATTACCTCCTCTAATCGCGTGGGAGATCCGGGTGAGCAGGTTTCACATCACTAATTTTTTTTTTCGAACTTAGAATTTCCCCAATTGGTATTTCCTAACTAAAATGAATCCCAATCTCACTATATAGACAAAGAAAATGAAACGATACAAAAAAACAACAACAAAAAAACAATACTTCAGAATTGTCATCTCCTTCAAAACATTATTTAACAACCAAGATCTAAAGCATAAATAAAAATTCTAAGAGGATCAGTTTGAAAGGTCAAAGCAATTACCTATATTTTCAGCAAGTGATCCCCACCGACAACGAATTAATTACAAAAGACACTCACACTCGATAAAACAGTTAACGTCAATTTAAGCCAAGCCATCCGCTCCTTTCTTTGGCCAATCTTCGCCTCAGTGTCAGCTCGGAACATGACACCTCGATATCAGATTCCCTTTTTGTCTCAATCAGGAATTTCAAGTTTCAACTCCTACCAGAGAAATGCATTACTTTGAAGCTTTTTTTTTCCACAAATGACGTCCTGTTATAAGTTTATATCTCTATACCTGGTGTTTTATTCGGAGTTTGTGGGAGTTGATTTATTCTCTCTGTATATATCACTTAACAATTATTTAATTAACATATTATTTTGTCTTTTATGTAAGTGACATACTATTTCCAACTTGTTTCATTTACATATGCATTTTGAATTTGATTTGACAGTTGTATCACTTCAAGTTCTTTTGTCTGTTGTGTATCATTTTAAGATTATTTATTTGGTGTATCAGTTAATTCTTCGAGGTTTATTATTATGAATGTACTATAAATATATCTCATATGCATTGTTTTGAAGTTCTGGCAGTTGTGTACACTATGACAAAACTGTCCAATGTCAATATCAACATAGACCAACTTCGTTAAAGTATTTAAAATGCAATTATAAATCTTTTCAATTTTTAATTTTTTTTTTCAATGCTATAGGCCTACATAACACATTCCACCTCCCACTCCACTGACACTCGAGGCAAACAAAAACCACGTACACAGCCGACACCTCCTCGTCTTCAGCCTTGCAAATGCATGCCAATGCCCCCCTGTCCCCCCCCCGGGCATCTGAAATAGGCCTACGCAAACCCCCTTCAGATGTGACATAGATTGGCACTGGCACTTGATACTCACCTGTAACCTGGCCCTCGCTCAGCTCTCTCTCGTGCTCTCCCTCGAACTATCCCCTCGAATCGCGTTCCTCCGGTCGTCTCACGCCTTCTCACACATCCCGCTCGCTCTGTCCTCGAAACGACGTCACCCGAGACACGCAATCATTCTCCTGCAGGCGCCGCGGGGTGTGAGCGAGGTGCACGTGCGACCCGTGT